CTCCTATTGTAAGCTTTCTCACACTAAACAGGTGGAATAATTAGGTCTGCTGATGCAGTTGCAAGGTCTGTTTTGCTAACCGTCTGCAATATTTCATGTCAAGTATCTGAACACTTGCTTCAATATTATATCTATACAATAAATAGAATTACCACAAGCCACAGCAGTAGTTGGCTTTCCATGGACGTTGGGGGTTTCATATGCAATTATGCATGCTGAGTTAATGCATTATAGACTTCTGTTACACTATTGAGCTGTGATGAAATTACTTCAAAGTTGACTGAAATCATATTAGAGAAGGCCGGCTCGTCAATGAAGGCCTATAGTGGCTGATGTTTGGGAGAGTGTATTGACCAATCTAGGAACAACTGGCATTCTATGATAGCATAATAGAATTGCAGCTTTATATCAGAAAATTTCTTTCATGATACATTTGTATACATTGGCTGTTGGGAAACATGAGGTTTTGAATTGAATATCCCAAAGCACTTATTTCATCGATGCACTCTGTTGCCTTTGAAGAAGCTTTTCTAATCCTTGCTATACAAACTAAACCCTTGCTATATTTGTTGAACAAAGATTTTTATTTCATTAAATATCAGCCATTTATTATACTCAAACATCAAAAGTGATTCTAATTTTCTACTATATATACAACCATAATAAAATTGATAGTCATCCTGGTCTGTGATTTGAGATGAATTCTCTGTGTTTATTTATCAGGGGAATGTTTTACTTAAATTATGGTGAAGCTGATTAATGTTGCCCTGTGATGAGGTGGTCATTACTGCTCATCTCACTAAAGCTATTGGTGGTCAGGAAATTAATGTCCTCAGCAATATTGATAGAGTGACCAGTTGGAGGGTGTTGGATATCACTTATTCTTGAAGTCTGAGATCAGGAATTAATAAGATTGCCCCCAAACTGAGACATGTCAAGAAAAGCTTGATATTCAAGTTAGATGTTTGTTTTTCAATCTATAAAACTAGCATCCTGAACATGCTGAAAGATATTGGATGGCAAGTGAATTTGTGCTTTGGGGAAATTTTGTTTTATTTTGCCTATTTTATACAAATACTCTGATCCAAGCTGATCTGGAGCTCTGACAAAAAAACAACCCAAAACGTTGACGGGTTTTAATGTTTTGTCTTGTCTCTCTAATACATTTATTTCTTATTTTAGGGCCCATTCTGGTGTCCCCCGCCATGATGTTGCTTGAATATTGCTTAAAGAGGCGTAAAACCAAAATCAGTCAGTCAGTCTTATTTTAGCACTACACATAGTTAATCTCATAGACAAATGGAAGGAATTGATTTCTTTAAATTGTTGTAAAGGTAATTAATTCTGTTTTCAATATACCTGTCAAGAAAACTGATATAGGAGCACATGAACTTGGTGCTTTGCAAAGGAATTGTCAGTGGCCATTTTCCCATAACTCAGAAAGACAATGGGTTGTCATCGTTAACATTTGTTACAGTGTCTTGGATTTCCATTGTTCTTACTCAGCTCATTAACAGCTGTGCAAGGCACGTCTCGTAAGAATTGTGATTGGCGCATTTCAATTTCCATGGCAACACAATTATCAGAGGACCAGATTTCAGTGATAGAGGAGGAAAGTTTGGCGAAGTTGGAAATCGTTTAGTTGCATGTGTATTATGAAGAGTGTGCCATGGAAATTGGCTAATTAATCTGGAGCTATTTGTGTGGAGGGACGTTGGCATCAGGATTGCACAGATGCAGGCAGATGACAAATAGTGATGCAAGATGCAAGCCTGAGTGGTTGCTTAGATGTTGCGATTGTGGAGTGTGTTGTTATTCAAGTGAGGAGTTAACTACATCTTCAAGGTAACCATTAATTTGTTCATGATATCTGACGCTGTTTATTAGAAGGAAGTATTTACTTAGTGTTTCATTCCTGAACATATTTTTCCTATTAGCTGAAGTCATTGTGTGACAGTTTGTCACCTTCCAATTATGACAGAATATTTGAATAACGTGTCAGGTTACAAGTTATATAGAGAAACGTCTAGGATGGGCCATATTCAATAAAAAGAAGTGTTTCTGCCATTCTTTAAGTGCAGTATTTGACCTGTCATCCAAGTCTTGTGGGAGTATTACCTGTGAGCTGTGCGGAGCAGGACAGCAAATGCTTCCTGTTGGTGGCGGTGACTGATATGCCACATCTGCACCAGTCCTAACCTGAAGGCCCTCCCCTATGAATTCTCGGTGGGCTGGTGCTGGGAGTTGGGAGTTGTTCCATAGTCATTGAGCATAACTGATGGGGTTTGTTTTTCAACCAACAGATCATGTATAATTGCAAGTTCTTGTATCCCCCTGTTTATTTGATTTTTAAACTTTGAACCAAATCATATCTCACTTGTGGTGAAATATTTAGAAATGTACAATGACCTGAAAGGTCTCATGACCTTGTAAACAGGTCACTTGTCATTGCAGATTTCCCCCAAGTCTTCATGCAAACTTGCCCAGGGGCCTACTTAGTCTTTTCAGTAGACATTGTATCTGTTATTCAGTCTTTTGTTTGTATGGTTCATGGCCTTTTATATATTTATAGTCCATCGATCAATTCTTTATGACCATGATGATAGATCATCTGGTCAGAAAAGTATGTTTAGTCTAACAAATGGTCTTTGTTCATGATGTATCTGTAAGAAAATAACTTATGTCCTTCACACATTACTATGCTTCGTTATGACAAAATTATACAGTTTTCAAACCTTTTCCATTTTTCTACACTTTGTGATATCACGGACAAACTTATACTGGTATTTCTACAGGATGTAACTGTTCTGAAACTCTGCACTTGAGCTTTGAGTCTTCAGCCAAGTAATATTTGTAGAGGTTGTAGTAGGAAGATGTTGTAAGGATTGACACATTTGGTGAAGTGTGTATACAGGGCTCTGAGATGGGCGGGAAGATCTGCCGGGGGCCCTGTGGAGTCTGTGTACACAGTATTGATCAGTGGACACATTTTGTATGTGCTGTAGTTAGGAGGGACACCACCCAATTGTTCACACAAGGCTCTTTACTTGTGTTTTAGTCATTTGTTAAGAGGGTTGTTGTTTTTCAACCTGTATTGGTACTGAGACTGAAGGCTTTCAGACTTTTGGGGCATAGTTTACTTTTCTTTGCCCTTATTCATTCCTTCAGAATTGGGGCGGTAGGGTAGCCTAGTGGTTAAAGCGTTGGCTCATCATGCTGAAGACCAGCGTTCGAATTCCCACATGGGTACAATGTGTGAAGCCCATTCTGGTGTCCCCCTGCCGTGATGTTGCTTGAATATTGCTAAAAGCGGCATAAAACCAAACTCAGTCAGTCAGTCCTTCAGAATTGTTCTGAAGTGATCTTGGAGTGTGAACTCTGTGGGCAGTGGGGTAGCTTTCTCCCGTCTCACTGAAGACTCAATTCCCCAAATGGGTACAATGTGTGAACCTCATGTGTGGTGTTGAAATATTGCTAAAAGTGGCATGAAATCCTGCTCACTCGCTTGTGTTGGCATTCAGTGTTTAAAGTGAGAAGGAATGTCAAGGGATCTTGTCATATTAAACATTCCGTCACCACATTTAAGATTTAGGGACTATAGATTCAAGTGCTATGATGATAGTAGCAAACCCCTAAGACAACCCCCTGAAAATTTGAAGGCATATATCGTCTGTAATTTTGTTGAAATTCTTTCATTTTAGTGGGTTTTGTTTTTATAATATAACTAAGATGTATATAAGGTCATGTGCACACCAGAGCATTTCATGTCTGTAACTAGAAGAAATATTACCCTTCCTTTATTTGTGCAGCTAATTTATGTAGATTTTCAATCATGTGAAATATTGTTGATGTTCAATTTTCGTAAGTATTGACCATGTATGAATGATAGTACTTGTTTCCCATCTGTGGAACGTACATACTGCCTGTGAAAACGCTGACATTTGGTGCATGCTAATTTAGCCTCTGACACCATCACAAATTGTGAACTTCATAGAGGGACTGAGAAGCTTATATTGAATACAGCAAAGTAAACATTACCTCTTAGTTCAATCAACAGTTACTGATCAGTTTTACCTGATGATGGGGCCAGAACAAGCCCTGAAACGTTGTACTCTAGAATAAAAAGAAGATGTAACCAGGAAAAAATCTCTATGTTCATCAAATATCATCTTCTAAAATGCCAATCAAGCATCTAACAGTACACTGGTTTAGGAGCAATAATTGTCCGTTTACTAACACATTACATAACAGTTCTGTATTCCTGGACCCACTTCTACTGCGACATCAGACCTACAACTGTATTGGTGTATGTTTAAGTATGCTATTTTCAATAGTGCAACAATTACTATGTCAGGTTGGACCAGGTGTACGTGGAACAACTCCTTTCCTGGATCTCCATAAAGTGACAGAGACTATGATCAGTTATAGTGCTAGAATTGACCTAAGAAGCATGATTGTTATGAGAATCCACATGATAATTTCTTGTCAAATTTATATTCAATGATAAATGCAATATTTCATATCAACTGCATGTCTAACATTGAGTGCCAGAAAAATATCCAATTTAAAATTATGTAGCTTCCAAATAAAATGTTTATGAAATGGAACTCAAAACAATGATAATTTAATATGAAGTCTGAATCTCACCTTAGTGCTCAGGTTAACTAGACTTGCAAAATCAGTCTGAACTTGAGTTGGATTCATTTTTCAACCTAATCCCTGCGGCCTGGAAGACAGACTACTGCCAGTCTTATGTATAATAAATTCTCCTAGGTAACATCTGGATCCTCTTCTGTAGAATTGGCTTCATTATATCATATGTATGCTGTGTAAAAATATACCATGTAGCTGAAACAAAGCAGTTATGCATGGTCACTGCTTAACATTCCTGAACCAGATTCAAAGGCATGGCCCCCAGTGCATTGTTTTGTTGATGAGTGTTTTACTTGTGATGCATCTTCGTGCTGTGTAATTCATACTATGCTACTTGTTTATTGCAGAAAAACCAGCTTGCTGAGGGAGTACACTAGTGGTTCCGGTTCCTGGAAGCTCTCCTGTGGAAAGTGTCGACCATGGCCTTATCAAGGACTCTCATCTGTACTTTGTTGCTGATTGCATTGTTACATTGTGTTCAATCTCAAAGTAAGTCCTTTGATGCTGATTTCATATGACATGATAATGTGTCCCCCAGATGTTAATAATCATTCATTTTAAATTTATTTAAATTATACAGACTTTGTGTAAAGTAGATTTGATCATGAATGTTTTAAAGCAGGTTAAAACATGGTTGGAATGGCTTCAGGGAATATGAAAGCAGTGTCTATATTTTGTTTTGGAACAGAATGGAAGGAAGAAATTGCCATGTTTGCAACAACAAAACATGTCATGTACTTTTCTGTAGGCCTGGTCTATATGTAGAACCCTTGTACCGTATTAGCAAATGACATTTCTATGATCAGAGCTCGATTTAGTGCCTTGTTACTTGCACTGGTGCAACCCAATATTACAGAGTGCAACCTAGTTATTAATCTAACTTGCACCAGATGCAAGTCAATTTTTGAGTGGGTAAACTTCTGAATAGAAATCTAAACAATTTAGCATATGTCTTTCATTACATGTATATTGAAATAAAAGCAGTGCAATTGGAATTTGGCTGGTGCAACTAGGTTTTTATCTTAGGTTGTACCTGGTGCACTAGGTTAACATCTCTTAAATCGAGCTCTGAATGATTTACCATATGCTACTCAAATGAGGTTAAGGACAACCAGATTCTTTCATTTTACAATAGTTAACCTGTTATGACCTGGCATTTGCTTTGCAAAATATTATCCTTTTCTTAGGTCTGCATGGTATTACCAGCCAGCCTTTACTGAACCTCTCACCTTTACTTCATGAAGAAATATTTACTCATCTTTGCATAAAAAAATCTGAGAAAAACATTGATCATGCCATCAAATGTTGAGAGAGATAGTAGTAACACTGGACCTGATTATAGTGATGTTCGACACCATTCTGAGTCAGTGCACACGAATAAGACAGGGAGCAAGGGCCATCACTGGTGAAAAGTTGACCAAATGTAAAATTATGAAGTAAAAAATGTTGTCACTACAATGACAATGCAAATGGAAACATACCCTCTTAAAATGATAATTTTTCCTTATCCTGACTCATGCTCTTTTGCTTGTCTTCTTCTTCTTCCGAACATAGTGGAAACACTTGTATCTCCCTAATTGAAGTTCCCTTCAATAAAGAAATCACTAATTAGTACACCACGAGTTACCTCCCTTCCACAAGCGCGGGAACGAGGCCGCCACCTCCACCCATGTGCCTCACTCTCTCCTTCTTTGCCCAGTGAGCTGGACGTGAGAGCACCTGTGTCTCCCGACACACTATATCCTTTGATTATATTTAGTTAGTTACCTCGTATAGGCATCTATAGAGGTTGAGCTAGTATCCTTCAACAATTATATATTGATATTTAGTCGTGTTTCTACTGTTTATTCACGGGACGCCGTGTTTGTTCAGTGGATTACGTTGATGAAAATCTGTACTGTTGCAGATTATGTTTTTATTCTGCTGCTGATCCGCATTTAATATGCCCTAGCTGTACTGCGCCATGTTCTTTTTATTCACGTTGCAGTTGCGGTACTAATTTATCCAATTCTGCCTTTAATAAATATTTACTTTGCGTTTGAGACGCGCAGCAGATAGGTCGCGTATGCAGAGTCTAGCCATGACTGATACACCTGAACCCCTCGCCAGTCTACTGCTGTTGATCGACCCCCCTCCCGTCTGGTGTTCCGCTAGAGTGGTGGAGAGGCGTGGGACGTAGTCCGCCGTCTCCAAAAGCGTCCTGCTTCCCCAGACATCCCGTCGTCGCAGCCGAAGAATAGAGGGCTTCTACTTCATCTCAACGCAGACTTGCGCACCCCCAGGGCAGCGTCGTCCTCTGAGGGGAAATCAACGAAGTCTACTAGGACTTTCTCAGCCGAGATTGTTCCCGTCGCAGTTTTGGGCCTGTATGATGATCAGCCGATCATCATACCTGATGTACATCAAAAGAATGACCGATGTCGGCAACAGTGATGTCAGCGCAGATCAACATGCAGCCTGATGTATCAACGCTGATGTTCGATGATCTTCCTGAGGGTCCCGTCGCTACCAACGCTGATAGGGCAGCAACTACTTCATCTCAACGCAGACTTCGCACCCCCAGGGCAGCGTCGACCTCTGAGGGGAAATCAACGAAGTCTACTAGGACTTTCTCAACTGAGATTGTTCCAGCCGCTGAACTGGGCCTCTACGATGAGCAGCCGATCATCATTCCCGATCTACGCCACAAGAGACGACCGGTGTCGGCAACAGTGACGACAGCACAGATCACCATGCAGCCTGATGTGTCTACACCGATGTCGGACGATCTTCGAGAGGGACCCCCCGTCAGCGTAGCGGCCACCAGATGTACAGCCTTCGCCTACGCGAAGGCTCCAACGTAGACGACATCCCAGAGGGACCCCCCGTCAACGTAGCAGCCACGACAAAGCCACCTTCGCGGAGGAAGTCACAGACCACCTCGACGAAGGACCCAGATATACAGCCTTCGCGAAGGCTTGATAGATCATCACCTACCTCGGCTTCATCCTTAGATTCGGACTCGGACCACCAGACTTCACGAAAGCCTTCGCGAAGGTCAAGTCGCCGTTTCTCACGACCGGACGCAGAGGAAGCTTCGCGAAGGCCTTCACCAAGGGCACCTTTATTAGGCTCCAAATCATCTTCGTCCAGAAGGACATCGAGGGATTCCACAAGAGCTTCGCGAAGCTATCAACATTCACCTCACAGATCTCCGCGAAGGTCAACCCACAGACGCAGATCATCAGGACGTTCACCAAGACGCTCCCCTCGCCATTCTCCATGCCGATCACCTCGCCGTTCACCGCGCCGATCTCCTCGTACATCACCACGTCGATCTCCTCGCAGGTCACCACACAAGTCTTCACAGACACCCGGTACAGTGGTAGAAGCACACAGTCCACCATCTGAAGAGCATCAACCTCTCATCAGCGATCCTGTGGTAGAAGATGATGGAGGCATCAATTTCTCAGATGCTGAGATATGTTATTGGATGGTTAACAACCTAGACCTTTCTTCACCTTCCAAGAGTGGTAACTCGGCGCATACTTACCTGATGAAGGAGGACGATGCAGACGCCATCACCTTACCTCCGATCGACCCGATTTCTGCGGTGCCACAGAATTTGGACACAGCCTGCCATAAAGCCATGAAAGTTCAAACGCCACACCATGACGAGGCGTATGTTCTTTGGCCTTAATAGATCTAGAACGATCAATGAGATTCTTATCACCAGATTTCGTGACACGACTTCTGAAGATGATAGGATGATCTACTCGGCCCTACTTATGCAGAACCAGCAAGAACCACACCCTGTAGAACACAGAGGTCGTTCGTGAAGCAAACGCTCATATATTGATCGGACTCTAGACACTTCGGTAAGGAAGTCCCAGGCCGCCTCCGCGAAGGAGCTAGAGTCTCGCCAGTTACAAGGGACGTCGTGGAGGAGTAGCGCTTCGCCGACCCCACATCCTGTTGAACACAGAGGTCGTTTGCGAAGCAAGCGCTCATATATATGTCAGGGTAGAGACTGCGATCTGGTAGAATCGGAGATTCTACCGGTAGAGATTGCGATCGGAGTCTCTACTGGTAGAATCTCCCGATCCTACTAGTAGAGATTGCGATCGGAGTCTCTACTGGTAGAGATGGGGCAGACTCCGATATGGCAGATGGGGTAATGACCTGGTGGGGAGTTGCCCTACACCTATCCTCTCAAAATGCCGACATGCCAATACACCTATAGCTTATAACAACAAACCAATTCTGTATTTCCTGGAGCAGTGTTACAATAAGCGAACATGCTTGTTTAATGATCATTTGAAATGTATTGTTAAATAAAGAAATGGGTTTATGAGCATTCACATATGTATGGTATTATTTAATTTGGAAAAAAAAAAATTGTTTTGGGGATTAAATGACTAAATGTGAGTTATGTCTCTGAAAAATCAGGCGTGTGAAAAGGGCACCGAGAACATTTTTTAGCCGTGCCATTTCAATAATGACCGTGCCATGGCACACTAATATATGGGGTATTTCAACCCAGATAACAGTTGATCTCTTGATGAAAGAAGTTGACTCCCAAAAACATGTCCATGACTCCTCTCATGATGACTTCTAAATTTTTATGCCTAGGGCAAACACTGATTATGCAATTGATCTTGCTTGTAATCAGTTTTGTAATATATGTATATATTGTAATATGATCTCTCAAGTCACATTTGTATTTTTAGTCCTTAATATATCTGTAGAAGTGGAAACAGTCTAGTGTTATATCTGAATAAAATGCATAGTACTGTTCAGAAAAAGTGTCTTTGTTGTTTACCCACAGATCACTCGGAGTTTCTACCAGTTGAAGACGATTGCAGCCTCTACTAGTAGGATCGGAGTTTCTACCAGTTGAATTGGAAAATGTGCTGGTAGAATCTCCGATTCAACCAGTAGAGACTACGATTGCAATCTCTACTAGTAGGATCGGAGATTCTACCAGTAGAGACTCCGATTGCAGTCTCTACTGGTAGAGACTCCGATCGCAATCTCTACTGGTAGAATCTCCGATTCTACCAGATCGCAGTCTCTACCCTGACATATATATACTGATCGGGCTCTGACTCGATACCTTCGCGAAGGCTAAGTGGCGCCAAGGCTACTTCACCCAGAAGATCTAGAAGGGATACTTCGAGAGCTTCGCGAAGTCTCCGGCGTTCACCGAGGAAGTCTCCTCCAAGGTCTCCATATACTAGCCACTCGTCATATATAGCCACTCGTCAGTCCGTTCAAGACATCGCATAAGTTGTCTATCAACTGTATGCCATATGCCGTCTATAAGCCTACGCGAAGACAATTGCACAGGCTATTTACAACACAGAACGTCGCTGTATTAATTAGTCAACGACGTTTCATAGATCTTCACAGGAATCAACTTTTCCGTATAGATTGCTAGTATATGCAATCCCGCACTACGATACGATTATCTACATGCGTCACCATTACGCAGATCTGCAGACAATTCAACATCGAAATTGAACAGCAGCCTTGTTACAGCTAGTATAACTCATAATCGTCAACGGTTTCTGAGAAGAAATATGTACAACAAGTTCAGCTTAATTCTACAATTATGACGATACATTCATGTATACAGTCTACAAGCTGACAACTTGCAAGTTTTATTGTATCTTTATATAAGGAAGTCGGAATTATCTTCAAGACTGAAGTTACTTTCACGACAGCCAGGAAAATAACCTACCCAGCATTAATATTACAGAGCGAGGTATTTCGCGCCGGAGGTTTCGCGCGTTTACCATTAACCCTCGAAACACGTGGTCACTCGGATAACTTCGGGAAGCTACGGTGAAGACCGACGATTGTTCTAATATCAACGACGGCACTATATTATACAAGGTTCCTTTTCCTGCTACACCGGTGACATCACAGCGCGGGTACTCTACAGAATCAAAATGCCTTGTTCTGATTGGACCGCGATGGACAACCCCGACACAGAGGTCGATCTTAGTTCACAGTTCAAGACTTACGTTCCAAGTGAACGAGCAAGCTTCCTTACAGTCCAGTTAATCTGAACCTTCATGATTGGGCTGCTTTCTTGAGGTTAGAGACCTCCCCTGTCAAGTTTAGGACGAGGGCACGGTAGTCAGGCGATTTTGCTTAAAGTTCAACGAGGACAAGCACACCTGGTTGTGCACCTACATCGTCAAGGACTTGGCAGCGAAATTACCTAGACGACGGGATACAAGTGGATCCAAATCCACAGCGTCTCAGACTACAACTGAATTTCATCATCAAGCTACTAACACAACTAGATGGTTAGTAAACCTACTTAAGCTTTCTGATTGGAGGATTAAAACGGAAGTTTCACGCTCCAATTTGGGGATCTGAATATAGTGCTCCAACACCTCACAAGTGAGGTTTATGAACACGCTTTGATGATATACTTTGACTCCATGATACGATGATTCTATCACGATAGCCAGTAAGAGCACTGTAAATTTATCTCCACCGAACCAAACAGGAGGGAAAAATGCAACAGATTATTTCCTCTATCATCAAGTTACGCAGACTGAAGTCTCACGTACTACTATCTCCTTTTGGATCAGAACTGTCATACTACGTGCCTACAAGATTGCAGGACCCGACCCAACCCTCCATGAGCTTCCAATACTCATGATATTAGAGCGTTAACTTCTACAATTGATCTACACAGGTGTTAATTGAAATAATGGAGGGTTTATTTCTGGAGATCCGATATGGTGGTTGCCAACCATTACTAGTATCTGAGATATCACCACCGAGGATGTCTCAGGTATCCACCAATTCGGTCCCATGGTCCTCGCACAACAGTTGACAGTTCCTCGGAGAAGATAAGTCAATCTTACAGATTTCTACTTATCTTATAACAGTACTAAATAGCTACATGCTATATATAATTTGCTTAAGTTCTTTTTTATCATCACAGTACTATGATTATTACATCATACAATATATAAGTTAACAACTCTACAGAGTTTGTTATTATATATTTACCTTAAGTTAATCATATCTTAAGCGTAGTACTATGGTTACATTATAAAATGCATTAGCTAACAAACTCTACAGAGTTTTTGGCTATTATATTCGTAGCTTAAGTTAATTATATCTTAAGCATAGTACTATACTCATATTGTAAAAATATATTAGCTAACAAACTCTACGGAGTTTTTGCTATTATATATAATGTAGCTTAAGTTAATTCATATCTTAAGCCCAGTACTATATTTATATCATATAAGTATATTAGCTAACAAACTCTAAAGAGTTTTTTGCTATTATATCTTTAGCTTAAGTTTCATCATGTCTTAAGCTTTATGGGTACATTATAACATGTACTAGCTAACAAACTCTACGGAGTTTTTCTTGCTATTATATATGTAGCTTAAGTTTTTTCATATCTTAAGCTCAATACTATATTTATATCATATAAGTATATTAGCTAACAAACTCTAAAGAGTTTTTTGCTATTATATCTTTAGCTTAAGTTTCATCATGTCTTAAGCTTTAGGAGTTTTTTTTGCTATCACATATTTAGCTTCAGTTTAATCATACTTTAAACTCAGTACTATGTTTATATCATAAAGTATTTTAGCTTACAAACTCTAAGGAGTTTATGCTATCATATTAACAAGCTTAAGTCTATTAGTCTTAAGCATTGTATTAATGTTATATATACCTTTCTCATAATAAGTAAGTAAATTGTAATAACCTTTATATGGCAGCTGATAAGTTAGCAGCAGGAATTCATCAGTTCAATGCCTTTATGAAGTTCCCATAGGGTTATTACAATCATCACAATTCAAATCACTAATTATTAAAATCCAAAGTATTATATATTCCCACCTCCTTTTCCGTCGGATACTACAAGCAAAAGAGCATGAGTCAGGATAAGGAAAAGTATGTAATTTTTTGAGTAAAATTGATATTTTATACTTATCCTGACTCATGAGGTAAGCCCTCCCATCCTCCCCCCATAACACTTTGGATTTCCCTGAAAATTCAAATGTTGGGCTCAGTATATGAGGAGAGAGTGAGGCACATGGGTGGAGGTGGCGCCCTCGTTCCCGCGCTTGTGGAAGGGAGGTAACTCGTGGTGTACTAATTAGTGATTTCTTTATTAAAGGGAACTTCAATTAGGGAGATACAAGTGTTTCCACTATGTTCGCAAGAAGAAGAAGACAAGCAAAAGAGCATGAGTCAGGATAAGTATAAAATATCAATTTTACTCAAAAAATTACATATTATTTTGGTATTACACTATGTATTATTATTATAGGATATTTATATAGCGCACATATCCACGCACGCAGCCAGTGCATGCTCAAGGGGCTGGTATTTTTCCCCTCGATCATTGGATGTCAATCTCAACAGCACATCGTATTATCAATCTCAACTCCCTAGGAGTATACAACTCTTACTGCCACTAGGCACGCCGAGTTATTGTGGCTTTCTCATTCTAACGAGGTACCCATTCACAGCTGGGTGGACTGGGACACATAGTCACAGTACTTGTCCAAGTTCACTGCATGTTGCTGTACCCGCTACTAGGTGTTTGCACATATTCACATGTCATAGACTCACAATTTGTGTATGGTATGTCCCTGAAAATGTGTCATTGGATTTTGTTGGCATTTCAAAGTTGTTTCAACAGCTGTTGGTGACTACATAGTTTCTACTGTGAATTAAATAATTGATGTTGTTCTTCCAGACAAACCACCAAAGATTACGGAACCAGAGGCATCACAGACTTTTGATGTTAGCTCATCTGATGATACACCAGTTGTCTTACAATGCAAGGCGGAAGGGGAACCTAAACCCCAGTATGTAATTCAGTATTGCAATAATTGTAATGTAATGTAATTTCAAGTGTGTTCAGTGATAAAACAGTATTGTAACAGATTCAAATTCAGTCGCAATACCCAAATGTTCGCAATTAATTCTTAAATATGACTTCAATGAGTCAATGAAGTGGGTCTCAGGGTCAATGGATGACGATTCGGTAATCAGTTCATGATTGCTGAGAATAATGTGAAATTGGTGCTATCGAGGTAGGAGCGAAAAGCGAACCCTCACCAACATGGTAAGCGGAAGTTGTACACGCATGGAATGCGATGAATAGGCATGCCATTTCACATTCGTTTTCACCGATGTTACTGTAAACAGTTTTTGATGAATGAAAATTGGACAAAATTTAATCCTATGAAATGGAATCGAGGAAGATTCAGGCGGAAATGGTTTACTTGTGCCAAACGTGGTGTGTTACATCACAGCAAACATCGTGATTACTATGCTGATAGCTTGTCTTTATTATAAAGTTGTCTTTTAGTTAGTACGATTTTCGCTATTCATGTGATCTAAAGCATCTGAAAAACCATAATGCCAGGATATGTACAATGAAAACTTTTTATTGTGATCCGTTCTGAATTTCCCTTGTTTACAACATGATTAACTTGAGCACAACAGCCCATTTGTGATGATATGCTATTCTCAATGACGTGAAGATGTGTAATCGCTTAATTTAGTAGGAGCCACAGATTACCCCATGGTTTAACTAAATCTGTGGTATCGTAAGAGCGTTATTGCAAGGGATGACTGTTTCTGATAATGCCGATTGACCTGTTGCCATCCTGTAAACACCAGTTTGAAAGTGCTGTGATGTGAGACATCACAATGCCTTTTTATTCTTTCTATCGCAAGTCAGTTATCATGTCGCAACTATTTCCTTTTCCCATAACCAACCATTTCATTTATTTAATTCAAGAAATTAGTTAGCTGAAGTACTTTCTCTGCTATCTTTAGTATTTCAGTTTTATAGGTTATTCAAACAAGAATGTTTTCATTACTCCAATTGCAGATACCGCTGGGAGTTTAATGGGGATCCGGCAGAGGGAGTAGCTTTTGCTTCAGATCCAATCACTGGAACATTGACTATCACCGGCTTCACAGACCGAGAGGAAGGAAGTTACCAATGTTTTGCTGAGAATGAGATATCCACCGGCATCATTGCAGCTGCTATGTCCCCTGTCATCACGCTGCGTGAAATCAGTAAGTGTTCGCAGTACATGTTTGTCTTATTACTTATGTACTTCAGTTTGTTTGTAATACAAGTGAATAGGTATCACAGCTTGTTTGGAAAATTTGAGTATATTTGTTCTTCAAAGTCATGCATATTTTCATCTTGTTGGCAAAGTTTACAAAAAGTGAAGTCAGATGGAAATTAAAAAGTTTAGTCATTTGCAACTGATTCCTGTAATTGCACAAGAAATTTGATCCACAATTAGTTTCAAGTATGTAATGTGTTCACTATGCATGCATTTTGATGTTAGCAGTATCCTACAAAATGAAGTTGTGAACATTGGGCAGGGTAAAACTGATGTACGTGCCTGTCTTGGACTGCAAAGTCCTTTTGGTTACGTTAACAAATTACACCCAAAAAAACATGAACTCATGCACACACACCAATACTGTTCTGTGTTCAAGGCATTATTGAACAAAACATTCTCTCTATATTTCCAGAGATGGGAGATAGTTGGCCAGATCCCCTGATCAGAGAACCAAAAGTTAATGAAGGGTTTTACCTGAAGCTTGAGTGTGAAAATCAGCCTGTATCTGTCCCCACAGCTCAATATACATGGTACTTCGTGTCTGGAAGTGAGACACAGGGAGATATTAAAAATTCTGACAGGATATATACTGACAACTCAGGTATGTGACATATATATATATTCATTCTCTCTCTCTCTCTCTCTCTCTCTCTCTCTCTCTCTCTCTCTCTCTCTCTCTCTCTCTCTCTCTCTCTCTCTCTCTCTCTCTCTCTCTAACTCTCTCTATAACTCTCTCTCTAACTCTCTCTCTCTCTCTCTCTCTCTCTCTCTAACTCTCTCTCTAACTCTCTCTAACTCTCTTTCTAACTCACTCTCTAACTAATAGAATACTTGTTTTACAATGAAAACATTAAACATGAAAAATAGTATAAGATGCTGGTGGTCCTGTGTTTGGAAGCTTGACTCCTGAGAGTGTCGAGGACTTCAGTCCTGCCCGAGCACACACATCACGCGTGTGCTTTCGAATTATGCAAGTGAATTTGTTCTTGAATTCCCTCTGTTGACCCAGCTTTGAATGGGTACACGTTGGGATAAGTCATATGACTGTTAACTTTCTAGTGTCTCACTGGCAGCTTGGATTATCTGGGATAACAAAAAATCATTATTTAGGGGCGGTGGAGTAACACCAAAGCTCCGGTTTCAGTGTGTGAAGCCCATTTCTGGTGTCTCCTGCCATATTGTTGGAATATTGCTAAAGGGGCGTAAAACTAAACTCACAGGCTCATTATTTAGATTCAGAGTTAGGTAAAACTATTTCAGTTATAAACATTGCCCATAAAACTATGGCTTATTATATTTCTACCTTTTTTCAGGTTCTCTTCATTTTATGTATACATTGAAAGAAGATCAGCAAAGTGATAAGACTTACAAGTGTGGCATGTTCAACAGCAAATTGAACATTATCAAGCTTGGCAGTGAGAAAGACATCATAGTGACCTCTGGCGACTGTAAGTGATAGAACCACAGGATTTCATTAAGGTTCCTGTGGGGATTCTTGGTCAAAATAGTTACCTCCCTATAAACCTTTGCAAGTTGTAATAGGTGACCAGACAGTCATCAGGCACATTGGCTGATTGCTTGTCATGATACTTGTGTCATGATTTGCTCGTGGTGTCCTGTGGTCCTGTGCACAGAGCTCAGGTGCACAAATCAGTTAAAGTTAAGCAACGTTGAGCGTGGAGAGTCCGTGGATGTGTGACCATGTTTGGCAGCTTGACTCCTGAGCATTTCTAGGACATCAGTCCTGCCCAACAACAAAGCACATGTGATACACGTGGTCTCACCTTAGGCAAGTGAGTTTGTTCAAACTTGCCACTGTTCACCCAGCAGAAAAATGGATACCCGGTGGAATATGTCATGTGACTATGACCTTCTAGCGTCTAACAGGCAGCTTGGGTTATCGGGGGTAATCATGTGCTGTGCCTTGATTGTTAGCGTTATGAGCATACCTTGTGTGGAGTTTGGCACTATATGCATGGACACATTATTATTATTATTATTACCCTGATAGTGTTGATGGCTGCTCACAGTGTCTGGTCAAGTCATATACTGGCAACTGGAATATTGCTGAGTGTGACTTTAAGAAACAAAGTCATGGTGAACATTTTGTAAATATGACCAATGATATTGCCGATGGGAAAGAGTACACTTCAACTAACCTATTTATCATGCTCATGATACCTATCACTGTTAAAGTCTCAAATGGATATGCCATTGGTATTTCATATGTAAACAAGCTGTTGTAGACATCCTTTCATGCGATAATCCATTCAAGCTGCTGTAGCAGATAATCATAATATCCTGTTCTTGTTTTAGCTGTCCCACAGGTGCCTGCAGGAGCTCAGTTCCACACTAATCCTGCCGTATTTTTGAGAACACAAGATGCTGAACTTGAATGTGTCTTCAGTGGCAAGTATGTGGATTTTTTTATTTTCTTTATGTTGTATAGAACATCTATAACCTGCATCACTTTGAAGAACTTGTGATTTAACTCAAATGCCATTTCTGCTAACTATTCCATGCATATACTGTTTTTCATGAAAACGGTTCAGATTGATGGTTCGTGATAAGTTCATGGAGTATTTTATATAACTTATACAGGAATCATACTTGGACACAATGTTAATTCACCTTAGGCCCCTGTTGTGTACTTTCAGTATGCTTTGTCCCATTATCTGCTCCTTTGTGTCATGAAGTTGTTCCAGGCTCCTGTTCAACAAAACCATCTTTAGGTGATCGTAACTCCCATACCTAGGCTTTGGTTTACGATAGTCATGTCGCCAAGATCGTTTTATGGAATCAGGGCCTGCTTGACAAAGCTGTTGGGAGCAGGGAGAGTATGCATGAGGTGGTTTTGGAGGCTTTCCTAAGCCAATTATTATACCATATTTTCTGGAATATTTCATCTTTTACTTGCAGTCCAGTGCCAAGTATCACCTGGTACAACAAGTCTGGCAAACTAATTACAGCAAACAACAAGTATGAATATGTTGCTGACACCGAAGGTCGCAAGTTGAGAATTAAGAATGTGCAAGAGGAAGATGAAGGAATGTACAAGTGTAAAGGAAGTAATAGTGCTGGAAGCAGTGAAACGTCTTTGTTTATGGACATCACATGTAAGTGAAAAGTTAACTTAATGCTAATGACAGGGAGCTACACATTTGCTTGTGGCCCATCCAGAACAGTTACTTGCCCTTTATTCCAGCAAGTGTTCTTGTAACAGTGTCTTGTAATATACTGTTGACACTGCTGAAGCATGAGAATATCAGTGTGTATTGTCATCTTAATGTGAGATTGCATTGCTCATATTGGACTTTTACAATGTTGTGATATGTATTGGATATAAAATTGACTGCTGAATATGACATAAACACTAAAAGAGTTATGTCCCTTGGATCGCTCTTTATGAATATCCTGTAACTCAACTTGTGATTGAAACCAGTTTGGCAAACACTGACAACACCTCGTGCAGTTTTCGATGTAACGAGCAATTGTTTTCATTCCATATATGGCAAGTGTTCGCTTAGAAGTTTCAATTATTGATATCAGGTTAAAGTCGTAAGGGAAAATAAGTCTTTTATTGCATCAATAGGAAGCAAACATTTTGGCATATGCCCCAATATATATATAATATAGTCCCAAATATTGTTAAAATTGTGTGAAATTGTGCCTTTTAGGAAGTATTGTTAACCCTGTCAGTTCATCCATATTGCTTAATGTAAGCATTATTGCTTGGTGGTCCATTTGACTTACTTATTGCTACTGTCTACAGTTACATTGTACACAGGCCCTATCCTTTTCAAGTAAATCAAACAAATTCACAGCACATGTTTTAGTAATGGCTTCACTGATCATAACTGGGTTCTGTAAGCAAACAATCAGTCCTTCCCATGTCTTAACATTACATATACTGACTACTGGACTTGTGACAATGGAACCATACTGGAACAGATGCAGGATCAGGACAATGATAGTTTATTCTTAACTTATTCTATCACAAATAACAACATTAGTCCCTCTAAACAACCAATTTAACTAATTGCTTACGGTTTCTTGGTAGAAAGACAGGGTGTACTGAAACCTTGCCCGAGCTCTGTTGCATTACTATGGTGGATATTGTTTGCCTCTCAACGTTGAGATTGCTGGCAATGAAATGGAGGTCTGTTGAGATATCAGAAGATTTCATGATGTAATTGGAGCCAAAAAAGGAATTTATACTATTTATTAATATTGGCATTATTCTCATTGTACACATTGACAACTATGTTTGATTTCTGGTGTCCTATGACATTATTTTGCTTGGAGATTGGTTAAAGAAGTGTAATACTCTACTTGTTGTTCACCTTCACCTTGTTGTGTTTCAGCGGGCCCTATCTGGGTTCAGGCACTGAGTTCTCAAACTATCCCAGAAAAGAGAGATGCTGTATTTACATGTATTGCTAGACCTGCAAAGGGTGAAACTGCTCTTAGTCCTCCTGTATGGTTCAGAAATGGAGTGCCAATGCCCATTCAGAGTAAGTTGTTTATACATGACAGGCTCATCTTCAGGGTCATTTATTCTGAATCTGTTGCCAGTTCCGTGCTCGAGATTAGGCTTAAGAGACAAGAGATTCTTGTTATTATTCAAATACAATAGATATCAGGGCTCTCCTTAATTTGCAATTTTATTGATAGTTAGTACAAATGTCAGTATTATGCTTTGTGTAATATTGAGAGTATTCACCAAGCTTCCGTATTGTATACATATCATTTGATGTCATTCGAAGCATATGCTACAAGGGTATTCATTGTAATAATTACAATATCACGGAAACTCATTCATTGACCCATGAAGATCCGGGTTGGAATTGATCTTCAGTAACCTATGCTTGTCGTAAGAGGCAACTAACAGGATTGGGTTATCAGGCTCACTCAGTATACCAATTGCATAGATTGATGCGCATGCTGTTGATAACTGGATTGTCTGGTGAAGACTCGATTATTTACAGACAGCTGCCATATAGCTGGAATATTGCTGAGTGCAGCGTTAAACTACAAACCAGCCAAAATAAGGGTTGTTCATTCAAAGTAATTGTTGAAACTCTGTATGAATACAATGCAAGAGTCAGTAAGTAGCCTATAATCTTAACCAAATTATCTGCAGTTGGGTTTATTTACTAAGATATCCACACATCTTCAAACCAATACCATAAGTTACGAATGTTAGGCAATGTTTATTGAGCACATTGACATTGTATTGTTATATAGAGCTTATTAAACCTCCTGCTAGGTCATTTGCATATTCATTGGATTGTGATGACGAGATTGTATATTGCATGAAAAGCACTATCCATCATATGATAAAGCATTCCTTAATCTCGGTTCCCATTTGCGTTGAGTGATGCTCATGCTATTGATCACTGGATTTTCTGGTCTAGGCTCGATTTACAGACTACTGCCATATAGTTGGAATATTCCTTAATCTATCACAATCACATACACATACTATTAGATGTTGAGAGATGTGCCATGGTTGTAAGATATTTGCATAGATGAACTATTTTTTCATCTTGTTTTCAGATAGTCCAAAATATGAGTTCAGTGATAACGCAAGGGTATTAACAGTCAAGAATTTAACCAAGGCCACCGATGTCATGTGCTTCCAGTGTAATGTCAGTAACAACATTGGATACGAATTTGGTGATGCCTGTCTCAATGTTATTGGTAAGTATTTAGCATCATATGCAATCATTCTTCTGTGCACAGGTTGGCAGGTCATCTGAGGTGCTGCAGTTGTTGTACAGATTTTCAGAGTTGTGTTGACCTGTGAACATCTGTGTTAGAATTGTTCTTCAGCAACCCATGCTTGTTGTATGAGGGGATTAATGGGATCCGGTAGTCAGGCTCGCTGACTTGGTTGACACATATCATCGTATCCAGTTGCTAAGTTGGATGCTGATGTTGTTGATCAATGGATTGTCTGGTCCGACCATGATCATTTACAGACTGCCGCCATATAACTGGAAAATTGCTGAGTGTGGAGTTAAACAACAAACCAACTTTTGGTTGTGTCAGAATCCTTTTGATACTGGGTTCAGACCTGATCACTGTCATGTTTCTAAGACCATATTGTTTTGTGGGAGCAATGGTGAATAATGAAGAGACGCTGGGTATTTCTTGTAGGATATGGCATTGGTGTGATTTGCTGTTGTGCAGGTGACACAGAAAATGAGGTTTTTCTTGTGACCATTTCAAGCATGAGGATGTTATCAGGGCTACAGATAAGGGGCGTAGAGGTGTAATGTACGTCTCAAAATCAATTAAGTACGACATAATATAAGATTTCAAGCGTATTGTGTACGCACATAAATACCTTTGTACGTCCAACATTTAATTTCCGTGCCTATCGTGCAAATGGAAATCTATTTCAGATAAATACTTGTCAAGTTTCTTTTGCCAAACACCATTTGACACATGAGGAAACCCCGACAGTAGGAATTTCTTGCGTTGCCATGCAACAATATGCATCACTATTTTTCGATTGGCTAAAAACTACACTGTTCCTATTTATATCCAGTCGGACCTGACATTTCGTGCATCACACGGTCGCTTCAGTTATTTCTCACGCGTCTTCAAATACAAATACATGGTTGGAAATAGTGATCAATGAATCGTCCAGACAAACCACATCACCAACTCGCTCACACAAAAACATGTCAGTACTCCTTCAAAATTCTCAGTACACCTCCACTTGCAATATGATGTGTAAGTACACTCACCCCCCTAAAAGTTATCTGGAGCCCTGGTTATTGTTGATTGTGAATATGGAATTGTGCAAGTTGGTAACAGCGGCTGTTGACAACATCTTCCTCATTTTCTTGGCACTTGTCATTCATCAGGCAATACTTATTTGAATGTATTATTTTTCAGAACCGATAGTCATCTTGTCAGAGCCTTCACTTCGCAAGAAATTACGAAAGGTGATATAGTCAATTTGACAGTGACTGGAAAAACAGATCCTGCTTATGTTCTGAAGTATAGATGGCGGTTTGGCAACGTCACATACGAGTTGACCTCTCCTCCACATGTTATTTACAATGAAACAACACAAACAGCGTACATCAACACAACTAATCTCAGTGATGAGGACTATGACAAGATAAATGGGACATACTACAGAGACCTTTACCATCCCTTTGAAACCAAGACTGTTGCCATTGACGTTATTGTGACAGAGCTTCCTGTTATAGGTAAGTAGTACATATCACACTTGTAAGCAGGCTGTTATTAGGTTATTTTGAGAGGTGAAACTGTTTACGTTGTCATTGATTAAGAGCTGTTTACAACTGAGTTCTTTTCAGCTCTAACAAAAAAGTGTTGGTTCATCCACCACAGATAAGGAAATCAACAACTGCTGACATGTTTCCACTGTATCTTGGACGTTTGTAGCTTGGGATGATCTTATTGAAACTTGTGCCTAAAATGTGTTTGGTATTTGCAAGGCGTGCTCAAGGTACCTTCTAGATAAGTCAATAAATATCTATTTCATATTTTATTTGGATAGCTTATTGCCTGGTTGATCTTGTAAAAATGTTTGAGTCTTTCATTAACAACATTTTCTTTGATTAATGAAAATAATGGTGAATGACTTTATTTTTGACTTTGTGTCCACAATTATCTCAATTTATGGCACATGCAATGGTTTATGTATTTGGTTCCTGGTAGGTTTCTGTGTGTAATTGTAGACGTTCACTGGCACCTGTCTTTTGTTACAATACATTGTGTCCTACATTTCATTCGTCAACTGGGCCTAATCCCAACAGTTTTGTAATATATTGTGTTCCTGTTTATCATGGTAAAACATTCTGTCATGGGTACTCTCCAGAGCTCTGCAATTTCTCTCTGTTTTGCGGGGGACTATGTATTCAGCGGCATCCGTACGTACGTCCCGATTATTGTTAACGCGATATCTCATGAACTGTTGTACCCAATGTCTTCAAATTTGGTGATAGCCTACATTAGGGGATTACGCAAACACCAGTCGATTATTTTCAAGGTCACCACGACACTTTGACCCCTTTTCAAACTTTTGTTAACGTGATATTTCATGGACTGTTGTACCTAGGGCTTCCACGGGTACTCGAGGACGAGTCGGGTTTAGCTGGACTCAAGTCCATTTTCAAGGACTCGAGGACTCGAAAAGGGGAGATAACTCGAATTATTGACGTTGACGGACTGTCTGCCATGTGCTAAGCATGAGCGGCCGTTAACGTCTAATATTAAGAAAAAGAAAAAACTTTATTATCCCGGAGGAAATTCTCATACATCCAAACTGTCTCAAAATAAATATATACACAGTTCACAAAAATATAAACAATAATTACATGCTCAAAACGAATGCTATTTACAAATAAAACTGACATGATATAATTCAATTAACCACATAGGTAAAGAGGCCGAATAATTCTTGTGAATGGTGATTCAAAATATTTGTTGCATTCACGAATACTTGATGGTATGAAAGACTATCGAGCTGTTTTGAGGGAAGGTAATCGACAGCAGCGTCCAGAATGAAGTAGTTCAAAATGGTGAGATCAAATATGTCAACTATCAAATCTAATTTTAGCTGTCTTTTTGACTATACTCAAAATACACTCCAGAAATTTTGCAAGCAGTATTAACAATTTTGAAAAGTCTGTTTTTGTTAAGATGAGACAGATCCCCATACCAACTTAGAAAATTGTAGGTCAACACACTTTGAATAAAGGTTTGATAAAAAACTGTCATTAAGGTTTTGTCAATGCCTTAACGATAATAATGTTCAGAATCAGAAATTAGGCCAGTAACAGTGGCGTCATCTGCAAATTTCACAGTAAACAAGTCATATATTGACAAGTAACAGTCATTGGTATACAAAACGAAGAGTAACGGATGAAGGAACACAGCCATGTGGATCTCCAGTAGAGGTTGAGAGAAAAGAAGATTGATAGCCATTGACACTGACATACTGAGTTCTATGTACCCTGAATTCTTAACCCATCTGATAATGTTTTTATTAACACCTAGATTAAATAGTTTACTCCTCACACGGTGTGGCTGTATGGTATTAGTTGTTACAAGTCTGCAGACGAGAGTAAATATTATACATCGATTGAGATTTCACTTCTTAAAATGATTAGGTAACTATCTTGACAATTGATCGTTTGCTTGAAAGGTATGAATTTCGAGTACTTGGGTCCGAGTGGAGTCTCACCCCTCGAGTACTCGAGTCCAAAAAAATGGACTCGTTGAAGCCCTAGTTGTACCCAATGTCTTCAAATTTAGTGACAGCATACATTGGCCGATTACAGACACCAGTTGATTTGGGTGACCTTGACCTTATCTTCAAGGTCACCACAACACCACATCTCATAAAACATTTCACCCAATGTTTTCAATTATGTTGCCAGTCTACATTGGGTGATTATGCAGACACCAGGCATTTCAGGCATCTTGTGTGTGACCCCCGAAATAAAAAGTAGTAAATATGGATATTCCATTCTTTAGCAGCGGGGGACATTGCCATATCAGTGGCAAACACTTGTTCTTTTTCCTTTTACAGGTTTTGCCTATGAAAGGTTGATGCTCTTCAGAATGAAAAATAAGAGATTTAATAAATGGCACATTTCAGTTTCATCCATATTTTTAAATTCCATATTTTACAGTAACATCTTTCACATTAACCTCATTTCATATTTCATCCGGGGCTGTGGGGTAGCCTAGTGGTTAAAGCGTTGGCTCGTCACGCCGAAGACCCGGGTTCGAATCCCCACATGGGTACAATGTGTGAAGCCCATTTCTGGTGTCCCCCGCCGTGATGTTGCTGGAATATTGCTAAAAGCGGCGTAAAACCAAAACTCAGTCAGTCAGTCATATTTCATCCTTTCTCAACTTTGACTTTCACTCCATCAGCTGAATTTGGCTACATATATTTACACCGTTCAAATATTTTTAGATGAATAAATCTTATGCATAAGAAATTACTTCCTATCAAAATGGATTTCTGCCATTCATGAAGTGATTTTGGCCCTAACCAAGAATGTAGTCATATTTTGATTACGACACACAGCATGATTCTAAGTAACATGAGTTTTTAAATTATGATTCCTGTGAGTTTAATTTTTGCCATGAATGAAGGGTTTTAACTGCAGCAATGAATTGCAATAGATCCTTTACACCTACAAATGAGCATGACTGAAGACAGGTGTAAGCTTTTAGCCATTAAGTCTGTGTTGTCTAATTTAAGTTTTGTATGTGTAGTATGTATATTGTCAGAGAGATACTGTCAGAAAGGGCATGTTAGAGATTTTTTGCAGCACTCTAATACTGTGTCTTGTGTTCTAGTACCTGGACCAGTAGTAGCTGCAGGAATGGATCTGTGGTGGATTGCCCTCATCGTTGCTCTCATAATCCTTATCATCGTCATCATCCTTATCACCATCATCTGTAACAGGAAGCGACAGGAGGGAACCTATCCATGTGAGTAAACCTTCCAATATCAATGCTTGCATTCCAGTCAACAGGAAGGATTCTTTCTGAGAAGATATCACACACACTCACTAGTGGTCAGTACATAATGCAGTTCCTTACATGTTGTCTATGTTTGTAATATTCTATGAGATTGTTGGTGTCCCCCGCCATGCCGTGATATTGCTGGAATATTGCTGAAGCAGTGTAAAACCATACTCATTCACTATGAGATTGTGATGTGAGACATTGTGTTTGTGTAAGTTTTGGGTAATGGTTATGAGAGGTCTGAGACCATTTCGTCTCTGTATCCTATTGTTGATCCCATAACAAGTTGAAGAAATCACAATCTATTGTTTCCTGTTTTGAAAGGTTATATCTTCAGTTTAAATAGTGTTGGCTAGTGTGGAAACAATATTCATTCTCTATGTAGTGGACATGTGAAGATCTGGGTTAGAATTGATCTTGAGCAACCCATGCTTGTCGTAAGAGGCGACTAACAGGATCAGGTTGCCAGGCTTGTTGACTTGCTTGACATGTCATTGTATCCTTAATGCGTAGATTAATGCTCATGCGCTCAGATTGTCTGGTCCGCACTTAATTGTTTACAGCTGGAATATTGCTGAGTGTGACAACCAATCCAGTCCTTCGTAGTGATATGCCCAATAAATCTCATGGGTATTTTGATGTTAGTACTTTTGATCTCATGATAAGACCTTTTTGTGTTCTAGTGGACAAGAAAGAAAGAGCTAATGATATCGACCCAGAGAAAGATCTTGCGGACAGTGGCTTCCATGACTTGTCTCGTGCCCCGTAAGTCAATTATTTGTGTTTCATTGAATCTTCCTTTATGCAGCTTAGAATAATTGTTCAAACCTCCAGATTACAAGACTCATTAAAAGACCACATCATAATGTATACAAGAGCACTTTAATCCAAAGACATGTATTTTTCTCAGTTCTCATATTGGTTACATCTTGAATACTGTGTCAAGTAAAACTAGTTAGAGAGTTTACTGTAGCTTCGTAATAGTAGTTGTTGATTTTTGTGAAATTAAGTTGTATCAATTTCAGTATCTGGAGAATGCGTATAAATCTCAAGAAATAAACGTGAAGGTATCAGTATTACAACAACTGATTTTCTCTTCAGTGGTGATGACGATTTCCCCAGCAAGAAGGCTGGAGGGTTGAACCCCAACTTTGACTATGGTGATGACATGGACATGGGGGATGATGACGAGTCACTCATGGAGTACGGAGGTGGTGATTTTGATACCACCAAGTTCAATGAAGATGGATCATTTATTGGACAATACTCATCCAAAAACAAAACACCAGAAGTGACACAGAGCCCAATGCCTCTGAACCACAACGCCACCGAGTCCCAGATATAGCAGGCACAAGATTGCCGTAGCATCAGGATCTGAGGCTTGATGTTAGCTGTGTTGACATAACGTGGACAATAGTGTCTTGATATTGATCAGAGTCAGTGCTATATTTTGAAATGTAGAGAGGTAAAATCAGCTTTTATGAAATATGTTTAATTTTAAATTTGGCATTGATAAATGAAATGACATCACATGTTTTAAATTATTAAGGTAACATTTGGGATTTATTGAGAGTGCTGGTTTGGTTATCCTTCTTTTGAAGCAGCAGGCAGCATGAATCATTTATGCAGATACTATAGCAAATAGGGCAAGCTAGCCTGATCAGTGCCTGAAGGCTCTGCAGTCCTTTATGTGCTGGCTACGCACACATCTTGGCCTGTTTTACAGCGGTCCTATTCAGGAGAAAGGAGTAGAGATATATTACCATTTGAAGTTTGCCGAAAGATGGACTTTCTTTTGTGAAGAGATTAGGAGTGTATTGTTAATTAACCTTTGTTACCATGGTTACAGTGTTAGCATTATGACTAGCTAGGTTCTGTTTCTAGTCTCTCTATGCTGCAAACTCTTCAGCTTCCATGAGAACCATATCCTCCAAAATATAGTATGGTGGGTTTTTGAGATGGTATTGAAAAGAGTTAGAAGATTGATGATGTCAGGGTAACCTTTGATATTCTTAGTTGATATTTCTGGTGTTTATTTCACCATATGAAACATGTACAAGAACCTTTGATTTTCCATGGCATCACCTTGCAGTAAGCAAGATATTTCCACACCCTTATATCATACAAAGTAAGTATATACTATGATACATGATTTTAGTCAAAAGGAAGGTAGTACTGTTGTCTATATTTCTGGGGTGCTATTAAGTGTACAGAGCTACATACCCTCGCGGCAACATAAGGTTTGAATCCTATATTCACTGATATATGACCCTTGTAGATTTTCGCATACCAAAGTAAAGGGTTATTAATTTAGATGACTTTCCTGAAACTTTCCAGCTAACATCACTGAAGTACTGTTTGAATTTGAATTGAATCCCATGATGGTGATAAAATATGTTGTTAGGATCTTATTGTAGCTGCAACTGAGTGTGGTATTAACTTGACGAGCCCCATGTTCGAAATGTTTGTAGTACTGTTCACTCTAGTGAATGCCTTGAGCAGAACACTGGTAAGATCGGTAGGTTCATATGGTGCTCCGGTGTACTTGGTCTTCAAACGAATCATCAGCTGAAGTATGTCTAAGTACTTGCACGGAATCATGACAATTAATTTACCATCTTTAAAGAAATAAAATGTTGATTTGGAAACCATAAAAGCTATTTTTATGGGAACAAAGTCTATTTTTATATCATCTGTATATTTGTGCAATTTTGAGGCATTACTTGGTAATCTGAAACATTCCCGTTGGATTTGTAAAATTTCGTGAGATTTCAAGTTATCAGTATTCCAGTTTAACTTGCTTGAAAAGTTCCCATTCCACTCAACTGTTTTTTTTGTTTGTATGTTTTTTTAATAGTTTTTTAAATAGTTTTTTTGTTACTTTGATGCTATACATGTGTGTTCTGAATGACTCCTCTTGGTTGTGTCAAGCTTAAGAAGTTGTATCCAAATGTATCTACATATGTTCATTGACTGAATGGTGTCAAATTCGATCATACATCATGGAGTGTGTATTGAGCATGTGTTTTACGTAAGCATGTTTCAAGAAAATATCCCAACATGCTGCATTCTTGAACAAACATGCTTGTCCATTTATCATTTGCTGGATTTGATTGTTGTGGATGAAGCAGTGTAATGGAAGAAAAGTGCACTTATGTTGACTCAAAATATTGGTTGTAGTCATCCGTTCAATCTATGCTAATTATGCGTCAAAATTTATATAAATCATGTCAACAGATTCCTTCTTCTGTAATAACAATAAGAATGTTCAAGTTTTATATGCTTTGAAATTCGCCTGTCATGCTATTCTTAAGTGACAGGTAACATTATTTTGGTGGCAGAGTTCGCGGGTCACCATTTTGACTGTGCCGATATTATTTAGATAGTAATGTTGTATGAGCAGTTCATTCGTAATGTTGTTTACATTGTTTAATTTGTGTTGTGTAAGTGATAATATTTACCTTCATACTTATTTACTGCTCCAGTGAAAACTATGCTCACATTAGTTGTGTGTTTTTGTAATTTCTTTTGTTAATTCAGGTTTTGGTCATTCCTCACTAGTCGTGATATGTTTTATGCAAAACAATTTCCTTTATTGTCTTTAATGATTTTATGACATTGAGTATGTGTCCTGTATTGGTTGGTGAACGAGAGGACAACCAAATGCTTGAGTTGTTTCAAATTGTTTACATGTTTAGTCACTTTTAAGTGAATTTTATATGAAATGTTGTTTTATATGAACTGCCATCCTGGTTAACTGAATACCCCCTCGTGTATATAAAAGTTATTTATTTTATACTTCCTTACACGCATTAAAGGTGTTAGCCGATGGGATGGCAAAATCATTTTTACTTGTACATTAATACCATGTTAACCATTGTGTATCCTGCATTGTGCAATGTCACTTTCATTTTTCCTGTGTAGATTACTCACATATATTGTACATAACATCAAGAAGAACTTAGAAATCATATCGCAGTTACATTCCAATGAATTCCAGCATGAAACTTCAAAATATGGTTATTGTTAAGTCATTAAGTTTGGTTATTAATATATTTTATGCATCAAAATGTTGATATTGGAAAACATTTTCATTAAAATAAATATCACAAAGGAAGGAATTTATGTAACACCAATATTGAATGTAATTGTTTTAATTTTCCTATGTTGCTAAAACCTTAGCTATAGGCTGGTAGCGAAAGCACCTGACTGAGCATTTAGCTAGGCCGCCTTGCTTGTAGTGTGTTGTACGGCTCTATAGGCCTGCTCTCTGTGAAGCTTTGTTTACAAGGTGTGCAGTTTGTAGAACCAGCGCAAAAAGAGGTGCACAACTACCAGTTGTCTTGTCAACAATGATACCAATGAATCAAATTTTCAATAAATGTTATATTGATTGAGACACACTAGAATGTCAGAAATTTAGTAGATATTAATATCTGCTTTTAAATAATATGAAAAATTGAAGGTGTGTCCTAAGTTTTATTTCAGGTAATTTTGACACCTTGTGGAAAGGTAATGATTCCTTGACACCTGCCATCTTTCTCATTGGTCCTCTTGGCAGCTACAGTGTCTTTGCCCTGTGTGTATCCTGGTTGTGTATATATTAATCTGTACATAGACTGCTGCGTATAACCTGTAGATGAAATGCTTGCCATTGACCTATCATCATATTTCCGGAGGGACCTTTCCACGTAATTGTTAAACTGTTTTTTTTATAAACATGGTCTCATTCCTTAGCAATAAAGCTTTGAATGATATTTGCCTTTTCTTTTGTTATATATTTACATCACCTCAGATTACCTGGATGCTTTTGAAAAACATGGGGATGCAGAGTATCCAGTAGCGGACTGGAATTACAAGAACTGGTTGGTTGGTTTGTTGTTAACGCTGCACTCAGCAATATTCCAGCTATAGGGCGGGGTCTGTAAACAATCGAATCTGGACCAGACAATCCAGTGATCAACAGCATGAGCATCAATCTGTGCAATTTGGATAATGCATGATGTGTCAACCAAGTAAGCAAGCCTGACCACCCAATGCAGCAAGTCACCACGTGACAAAGCATGAGTTACTGAAGACCAGTTCTAACCCGATTCTTCACGGGTCAATATCAACATTTGTTTCTTATAATTACATGGACCATTTAACTCTGTACCCTGTGAAGCTTTAGTCCTAGAGACTAGGGTCTTTTCTGGGCTGTGTAATTCTAGGAACCCCTTAAATCTTGTCCATGAAAGTTGTGACAAAGACCCTTCATTTCCAAACACACATGCACACACACACACACACACACATCATCCTCAGTGATGCACGCATATATATATCTATAAACAAACCAGCTTTATGGATATATATAATATAGAGTTTTGGCACGTGCTATGTTGGTGTCAATATTTTTATCCCACCGCATGTAATGCGGTGGATATAGTCATCATTGCCTGTCCATCCGGCCCATCCGTAATCATTTTGTTTCGGAGCATAACTCAAAGACCGCTCGATATTTTTCAACAAAAATTGGTAGATATGTCAAACATAACCTAAGGTGGTGTCTTTGCTATTTACAGATTATTATCATTTTTATTTTTCTCGGTTTCCATGGAAACGTTTTAGACTTAGTCTTAAAGAGGGGTGGGCTTCGTTTTCCGGAGCATAACTGAAAAAACGCTCAATATTTTTCAACAATACTTGGTAGATATATGAAACAGAACCTTTTCCATGGAAAAGATTTGGACTTAGTCTCAAAAGGGAGGGGTGGGTTTCGTTTCCAGAGCAACTCAAGAACCTTTAAATATTTTTCAACAAAACTTGGTAGATATATCAAACAGAACCTAAAGTGGTGCCTTTTGCTATTTCCAGCTTTTTGGCATTTTATTTTTCCCGGTTTCCATGGAAACAAATCGAACTTAGTCCCAAAAGGGAGGGGTGGGATTCACTTCCGGAGCACAACTCGAAAACTTCTTAATATCTTTCAGCAAAACTTGGCAGATATGTGAGGCAGATCCCAAAGTGGTGCCTTTTGCTATTTGCAGATTTTTATCCCACCGGCATGTAATGTGGTGGGATATAGTCGACGCCTTGTCCGTCTGTCCGTCCGTAATCATTTTGTTTCCGGAGCATAACTCAAAGACCGTTCGATATTTTTCAACAAAACTTGGTAGATATATCAAACAGATCCTAAAGTGGTGCCTTTTGCTATTTACAGATTTTTGGCATTTTTATTTTTCCCGGTTTCCATGGAAAAGATTTTGACTTAGTCCCAAAAGTAAGGATTGCTTTCGTTTCCAGAGCACATCTCAAAAACTGTATATTTTTCAACAAAACTTGATAGATATATGAAACAGATCCTAAAGTTGTGCCTTTGCTATTTGCAGATTTTTGGCATTTTATTTTTCCCGGTTTCCATGGAAACGATTCGACTTAGTCCCAAAAGGAGGGGTGGGTTTCGTTTCCTGAGCACAACTCGAAAACTTCTCAATATCTTTCAGCATAACTTGGCAGATATGTGAGGCAGATCTTGAAGTGGTGCCTTTTGCTACTTGCAGATTTTTGTGATTTATTATTGTCTCAGTTTCCATGGAAACAATTCGGACTTAGTCTCAAAAGGGAGGGGTAGGTTTTGTTTCCGGAGCACAACGCAAAACTTCTTAATATCTTTCAGCAAAACTTGGCAGATATGCGAGGCAGATCCCAAAGTGGTGCCTTTTGCTATTTGCAGATTTTTGTCATTTATTTTATTCATGATTTCCATGGAAACGATTTGGACTTAGTCTAAAATCAAGCTGGACTTTAAGTAACTGTCAGATGATTTGTTCTTTCAAAGATGTGGGGGCCGGGGGGATATGTCATCTTCTGATGACTCTTGTTATGACTTGTCATTCTATGATAATACTGTCCAGGATATGTGTGATGCAAATTATTTTAAATGTGTCCTCATTGAGCAAGTCCTCAGCAATTGATAACAGCATACTGTATACAACATCACTGGCTGTCAGGAACCTTTTGACATTGCCAGTCAAAAATAGAGAGGTCTTCCCGCCCATGTATAAAGCTACCCCTTTCTAACCCCCTAATTTCAGGTATGAAATTCTCGCTATAATGCGTGAGCGATATATGGTACCTTTTTGTTTTCATAGCAGCTAGCATGATCAGCATGTTTGCATGTTA